ATAGTTTTAAGTTGACTCAATGCAGACAAGATCATTAACTGATGCTCAATAGCTAGTAGATAGATTTGTCTTTTAAAATACAACTGAAATATAAGGATCGTAATGGTGCTATGTGGATAAATTTATCGGTTTTCAAGAGCTAAATTGGCAGCGCGTCATCCCTACAATGGCTTCCATTTCTACGATTGTAAAAATGAACTGGCGTAATGGGGAGATAATTTTGACGAAGTAGAATCCTGACTGCGCTATGTACGCCGCATTATGTAAAGGAGTAAGAACAAAGACTGGTTGACAAGGAGTCAGAATAATGTGTTCGGTTAGGTTGACACGATGCTCTTGTACAATAAATACAAAAGGTACATCTATTTTTTCCTTCCACGATATTCTCCATTGCTTTCGATATATCATCAATTGATATCGCCGTGTATGTACATCCTACATTTCAGAGTTCCTATTTTGGCAAACCAATCTGCAAGATTATGATCACAGAATGTTAGATAGAATTTATCTATGAAATTTGATCTAATGAATTTGATTTTTGATAACCCCATACATTTTATTAATATTCGCGAGCGTTACAAATTAATTTGACTCATGACTTGTGAAGATACTCAAGTGATTATCATTATTTGTCTTGCTCAGTGCATCTAAATAATGTTTCAAACTCCAGAATATGAATATGCATGACTTCAGAATGTTTTCATTGGTGTGTAACTATCTTGTCATAAAGACTTTTAATGCCACTCTATTAATATATATATACATATTATATTTTTCTTCATGATGGGATTTCTTTTTTTTGCACATGAACATAATAGTTCTACACATTTAATGCATACTATTTCAAATTCTTATAAGGAATAATAGAATACATAGGCAAAAGACATGCAATTGTTTAATAGACAATCATTAATTTTAGAATGTAAGAAGGCAAAGGTTGCTTTGATAATATATGTATTTTATTAATAATGATAACTTGTGTCTATTTAAAAAAAAATCAAAATCTCAATACTTCCATATCTGTAGGCTATAGTTCCATGTAGTATATAAAGTAACACATAATGTACGTGCATATGTACATGTTAAACATTAAAAAAAATATATGGCTACTTTAAATAGTCATTTATATAAAAGAAATGTAAGTTCATATTTAATCATCAAGTGTAGAATGATATGACAGTAACCAAAAAGGGTTTTAAGGGGTCATTTTTCCCTCAATTGTCACTTTGGGTCTTATATACAGCATGAAAACGTATCGCAATTCTTTAAGACCATACACACAGGTAGTGCAACAATTGGAAAAATGGTAAAGGTGGATTTAGCTCTTGCCATGACTCCACTTTCAAGTTCAATCTTTGAAAAATACAAGTTCTTTTATTCCAAATGTGTATATCGCAATACATCCCTGATATTAAAACCAGGTGAACGCATTGCACATTTGCATTTACATACATAAACAAATTTATACAGCTGCATATTGACATGCATGTGTGGACTTTCACAATGTTAACGGGCTAAAGGATAACATAAGAACAGTCAACACTTTGACGAATTTTGATATTATCATGTTCATAGAAGAAGAAATATTTATTCCAATTGAGGGTTCCAAAGGGAATACACATTGACATGACAACAGAATCAATGATTCGAGATTACATGTGCTTTTTGAGCATTGGATATATGTAACAATACAAATTTAAAACTTTGGTGAAAGTTCCATTTGGAAATGGAGCATGCTAGCTGAAAGAAGATTTGCCTTAATTACCACATCATTTGCATAATTACAATGTATTTCTGAGAAAATCGGATAGGAAATATGTCAACAAACTCTTACAGAAATGACATTCTAATGCAAATCTTGATTGATGTGTAGAGATTTTTTTTGGTTTCATTTCTGTTTACCTGGCGACAGGTAGGCTTTCAGTAGAGCTAATTTTCAAATCTATGTATGTAACAATGTTTTAGATTTTAACGAGAGAAATTTATGTATTACTGAAAAATTATTACACCAGGGTTTTCGATATCACAAACTAGTCAAAACATTTACTAAATTTTATCATCGGTATAAGGACATCATTCGTAAATATAGCTCAACATGCAGACTTCTTATACGTTCAGGTATTTCACATCCAATTTTTTATGGAAATATTCTTTATAAAGCACAAAAATGTCAGTATTCACCTCTGAAGCTAACAAAACCTTTAAATAGACTTATTAAGAAGGGATATAGTTACGATACTGTTGTCAGGTCATTAAAGATTGCATATTTTGGCGTTAATATTGATTCACTTATAGGGTCTTTGCATCGGCACTAAACACATTTATTTAAAAACCAGTTGTTGGCATGACACGGGTTATGTTCTTCTCATATATGTTATGATGGTATGATACTAAACCCCTAACGGGAAGGATTGTGCCTGATATTCATATGATGAAGACATAATCTTTCAATCAGTTTAATTGAAGTCTGGAGCTGGCATGTCAGTTAACTGCTAGTAGTCTGTTGTTATTTATGTATTATTGTCATTTTGTTTATTTTCTTTGGTTACATCTTCTGACATCAGACTCGGACTTCTCTTGAACTGAATTTTAATGTGCGTATTGTTATGCGTTTACTTTTCTACATTGGCTAGAGGTATAGGGGGAGGGTTGAGATCTCATAAACATGTTTAACCCCGCCGCATTTTTGCGCCTGTCCCAAGTCAGGAGCCTCTAGCCTTTGTTAGTCTTGTATTATTTTTAATTTTAGTTTCTTGTGTACAATTTGGAGTTTAGTATGGCGTTCATTATCACTGAACTAGTATATATATTTGTTTAGGGGCCAGCTGAAGGACGCCTCCGGGTGCGGGAATTTCTCGCTGCATTGAAGACCTGTTGGTGACCTTCTGCTGTTGTCTGTTCTATGGTCGGGTTGTTGTCTCTTTGACACATTCCCCATTTCCATTCTCAATTTTACTATTCAATAAATGTTTAAAAAGCTTTAACTCCAATATAGCTATTTCAATTATAAAGCAATACTAACAAATATTTTAATTATGCTTTGTTTGCTTTAAAATAAAATTCCGTAAAATATTGTTGGTAACTTGCTCATCAATATGACAATAAACATAAAATTGCAAAACAGTTACACGTGTAAATTGGTGCATTTAAACAATTGTGACCTTGAATTACTGTATGTTGTTTCTAGTTGCACATGGGTATAACAGGGTTAAACTGTATCTAGCAGGTATGGATGTTTATAATCCTGTCAATGTCATTTAAACAATGGTGATGCTGAGTGATACTGACAAGAGTATATAACATTAGATACACATATAAAGTGATACATAATATAATCGACTAATATGGCAAAGTGTAATACCTCGACTAGACTGGAGTCTTGGACTGGACACTTGGAGGCACTGTTTTCATGATTTTATTTTTATTGTGAAGTATAATTGTACATTAATATGTCACTAGGATCCTTTTTTTCTTCTTCAAACCATTATAGGATTAGACTTTTAATCACTTTTTTATTGTGTAAATGGGAGTTTTATTTGCATGTCTTGTTATGTTGATTTTTGGCCTTAGTATAAATATGGTGGAAAAATCAGTCAGTATTTCGTAAATGTAACCTCACACTATTCATTAATACTGGTCCTTTAAGACTATCTATTCAGTCTACCAGTTCACTGTGTAGTGTTAAGAAATTATTTATCTCTGACTTCCATTTTTCTTTGGCAAATACTTTTGAGAATCAATTTTTTAGACCGTTGTTTAATCTTTATTTGGATAGCTTTGTTCATTTTCTATTTTTTAAATTAAGTTTATTTTATGATTTTGTAGTTTTGCCATTGATTTTATTTTAACATTGTAAAGAAAATTTGTTTTATTTTGAATTTGATATTTGGCTTTCTTTTACTTTTTAGTTTAGTAAGAATATTAGTATTATTATTTGGCATTGTTTACAATTTGATTTCTATTTATAACTCATCAAAATTTATATCGTTAATCCAATTATAAAAACCTTTCTTGTGTTTTAGCAATGCATATATCAGAATAATAAGTCTAGCCTGTCCCTTGGTTTCGGTAAATAAGAGTCAGCTCCCCTTATCTAACAGTGATCTAGACCTTTGTTGCAGATATTTTGATATTCATGTACTCAAATGAGCAGGTTTTTGTTACATTTAATTGTATAAATACATGTTTCCATGGCATGTTTTTTTTATCATTACACTGATGTCTTATTAATTGAAAGTTATTTTCCAAACCAGACTTAAAATTAATATATATTCTTTTTGTCTTTTACCCCAGTTGCAACGTTTTTTGGTCTTGGCATTTACACACCCTTTGCTTGTTAGCATGTTACCAATATGACCTTCATAAACCACATCTATTCTCAAAATAGATATTTATATAATGACAACAAAAGGGCAGCATAAATATATTTGAAGACAAGGTCAGATTTCATACTAGACACAAAGTACACAATAATAAATTTCGAAAATGAAATAGAATAAGGCGATACATGTATAACACACATAAAAATACAAAATACGGGATTCTTCTCTGACCTTGTGTCTGCCTCATACATGTACAATAAAATTGATGCTGACATTCCAATCTGTAAATCAATAGAAAAAACAAACATGTTTTGGAGGTCGAATATCATCAATTAATACAACTTCTCATTATCGGCAGATTATAAATTCAATTTATATTATTGAATAAAATAGCATAAAGTACAGTAATAATAAACAAGAAGATAACAAATACAACAAATACAAAGTAAGTCCATGTCATTAAAACAAAACATGTAAGAGTCCAGTCTAGTCCAGTCCAAAAGTCCAGTCCAGTCCAGTCCAGTCCAGTCAAGATATTACACTTTTCCAATAAGATAAAAATATTACATTACATATCAACTCGTTGAGTATTGGTAAATAGCTACAGAAGATATTATTGAACACACTTTGACGGTGCCAACCAGAAATATATATGCAGTTCATATTTTGTTTTTACAGTATTGACTGAATTCGGATGTTATTTTGAAGTGATATAGATCGAGTTCTGAAGAGATTGTAAACTTATAAATACAAAATGGAGAAGATGTCAGAAGCAACGGTAAGTCATAAATCGATGTCAGAATATTACGGGAGGTCGGGAAATTAAGAAATTCAACGTAGAGGGCTGAAAAGGTCATATCACATAACAGTTTTCTAGGCATCTGCCTAGAAAAGTTTAAATAATTATGACGCTCTTAGTTTTTGCTTTGACGTCCTCATGCGTTAATGAGGAATCTTTAAAAATCAAATTTGAAAAAAATACAGTCTGTATGATCATATGAACTAGGAATCTACCTAATCTTTCCGACATGCATATTAGGCAAATGGTAAGATTTTAAATGATTTTCACTAAAAATTGTCGACAACTTTTCTGTTATGACCCCTCATAACATGCATAATGCTGCAAACATATGACAGCTGACATTACCCAAAGATGGTTATTTCACGCAGGAGACGTTTGGTTGTGATTCTAACTTTTTTCACGTGAAGCGCAAAATAAATATTTACGCCAGAATTGAAGTTTGAAATCATTGTCAATTTTGCATCACAACGTAAAACAATAATTAAGCTAAATGTGATCCTTCTTATTAAACTTATATAAATTGATTAGGTTCATCGTTTTACAGTTTTCAAGATAAGGGGTGTTGCATTGCTTTGGGTAGTTAAGACAGCATTACGTTTTGATCTCATGTTATCTTAATTCAACAAAAATATACAGTTGTTTTGAAATTTGTCGGAAAGTATCTAATAACCATATTCAAAAACTTCGTAAATTGACCAAAGTTGATTTTCAATTAATTTTATTTTCAGAAAGAATTTAATGAAGACGATTCCTCCTCTTCAGGAGAATGTTCTACACTATCAGAAAACAGTGATGAAAATAAAGAACGTGGAAACTGGACAAGAAAGATGGACTTTTGGTTATCATTGGTTGGTTACGCCGTTGGTTTGGGTAATATATGGAGATTCCCTTACCTGTGTTATAAAAGTGGTGGAGGTAATTTACTTAAAGTAACTACAAAAGTTAGATAGGCTACAATGAGAGTTTCGGTGTTATATAGCCATTTCCCCCCATGTCAGTTGTTCTCCCGGGCAATAGGATACCGGAATTATTAAAAATGTAGCAAAACATAACAAAATTACCTTCAAATAAATACAATAGCTTCGTTTTCGTGTGCGATAAAGATATGTTTGAAAAAAAACAATAAAAGATTGTTACCTTGCAATTCAAAAATTTTAAAAATGAAAGTTGCATATTTTGTGTATCTGGGTATCTGTGTAACCAATATATAATTTGATTTTGTGAATTTATCTCAGTATAAAAAAAATCATAAAAAGCCCAAAAGAAAACAAAATAAATCGAGTTTTCAATCACATTTCGGAGTACTTTGAATTAACATATACGATTTGATATTTTTTCAGGAGCATTTCTTATACCATACACAATATTTCTGTTTTTGTGTGGCGTGCCATTGTTTTTCTTGGAAGTATCTTTTGGACAGTTTGCTAGTCTCAGTCCTATTACAATATGGAGAATCTGTCCGCTGTTCAAAGGTAAGTAAATCATTAGCTTCATGACGTTTGTAGATCGCTAACCTAGCTTCCGTAAATAAATTTGACTCCATACGAGTTTGTTGTAGCTAGCTATAATCATAAGAGTGCTATCAGATATAGTTTTAAAGAAGAACCGTTTTAGCAAAATATCCAGCATGGTCACTGCCTCGGTGTACCTCGTATGATTATAACCTGGTACAGAGGAAATGGTGCTGACGTCGACTCGTGCATTACTCTGTAACATGGACACATATGATTAATGCACTTGGGCAACTTCAAGGTTTTAATGAGGCAGGTTGGTCTGAAGTTGCATGCCCTTTCTCAAGTGACATCCGTAATGTTGTAGTTATATTAGCATTTTATAAGTTTAAAATTTGACATTAACTTTCAATTTGGCTACATGGATTCATAAATTTAGATGTATTTGACTAGTCATTTACCAGTTAATTTGACATTACATGTACTAACTTTTTGAAGGGGGTTGTTAGGTGATGGACAAACAGTTCCATTTTAATAATAAACTTTGAAATATTTTATTTTTACAAAAGTCGTTCAAGAATGATGTTTAAGTACTTATGAACTTCATATATAAGTTCTTTTTAATAAAAGTATATGACAATTGAAATACACTAAGTGTAATATAAAATTAAAATTTAGAGAATGTCCTAATTTTTTTGCCCCTATCAAACATACATTATTTTTGCCGTATTATTCTAACTTTCATTTTAATGACATATTCCCACAGGCTAACACCAATCAATCAATCCTAGTGATAATATTCACCAAATAAACATTTTAAGAAAAAAAATATGAATATCATATTCATTGGTACTAGTAAGTACATAATTATTTAGGTTGTATTGGCCAAGAAAATTATATGAGTGATATTCTGACGTTTATAAAATACCCCAAATAACAAAATTCTTCTTTTCCCTTCTTCAATATCGAACAAATGTTAAGAAATAAAACTTTACAAAACTCAGTTTGGTAAAAATGTCCAATTAAGAATTGCTCTGTAATTGTTTGCATAGAGGGATAGAAAAAAATGTGCATATTCCATCTTGAATCAGTTTATTGTGTCAGTGGATGCAATGTTTGATGGCGGCTATGGGGGCCAATCCTATTCTGAAATGGAATCATAAATGGATTTAGTTGGGTAGCATTTTCCGTTACATGAGTTTGATATTAAATTTTCAATTCTCATACTAATGACAACAGCGAGCTTCATTGATTGTTTTGTTGATCAAATCTAATTATCAAAGGGGATTATTATTCTTTCATTCTCCAGATTTGTTTGTATATTTTTTTCAGATTATTTTTTTCCAAATTGCAAACCAATTTGGACAGTTGTGACCAGATTTAACATTAGATTGGAACAATTTCATTGAAGCTGTAAATATGCAACACCTCAAACACAGATTTTTATTCAGGCGTTAAGTTTTCATTGGGAATTGCATTATGTGGTAGACAATAACACATGTATCATGCAATGTGTTTGTTTAAGCAGTATTAATTTGTGAATAGCATAGAAAATTGCATTTATTAAATGTGTTACCAGATTACCAGGATATGACTAACCGAAGTCAAATAATTGTTTTTTTCCGAATATTTTGAATGTAGTCGTTTGTCTTTATGATTTTCTATTGATATGGCTTAATGTTAAATGAAATACTGTATGGTGTTTTGATTTTCCGTTGCACTATTTGCATTAAGTACAGTACACTGAAGTGTTTACTCTTACTTATATTCATGATATTTGTTTGTTTATCTAACCGATATTATTTTGTTGTTTGCTTCTAATTTGTTTTGTCAGGCCCATTTCTATTATATCTGATGATATGTAAAAAACATAAGAAGAGAACGATCATGCTTACTAATTATTGATTGATACAAGCCACCGAAATATACTTCTATGACAGTTAATCAACGGATATATCTATCATAAACACATCTTCTTGTAAACAAAAATATATAGTGATAACATGCAAGAGTATCAAGATATAATTATTATCGTCTAAATTAAGGAATTATGTTCTATTTTAATTAGTTGATTGTCTAATTGATGGACTAACAAATCAACCGTAAACTGTACATTAGCATTACGCTTTAGGAATCTCTATTTTAATATGTCTAAATACAAAAAAGATACTTCGGATTGAATAAGATTTTATTGCAAAACACTAAATTTCATTAAAACTATTTTTCTTGTAAAAAAGTATAACAAAAATACTGAATGCTGCTTGTAATCTCGTTAGATTTGTTCAGTTAATTAAAAATGGTATAAACACCTTTAGAAATATGAACGAAATTTTCCAATCTTAATTGACTAGGATTGTCAGTTTTCTTGTAGAAGGTCGATGGTTTTCTCCTGACACTCCGGCTTCATTTACCATTTAAAACTGACCGCCACGATGTAGCCAATAGTGCTAGAAGTGGCGTTAAAGACCAACAATCAATCAATCAATCAAACACAGCAGACCTACTCAACGTAGTGCTAATACAAATTATCACCACGAGCAACACGACGGATGTCATTAGGGTGGAATAGAAACTGATTTATCTTCCACAGCGCATGCGTTCATCCTTAGTTTAATTTGTTTTACAAGGTTTCGTGTAGCTTTTGCTACAGTTTTCAATGTTGTAGTTTTGGTTGTTTTATTTTTCAATGTATTTGTTATTTCTTACTGTAATAGTGTTGTCTATTTTTTTACCTGGCTTAAAAAAACTGTTTTCATTTCAAACTTTCACATTTAGCCATGCTGTAGGGAAAGATGATTTACATGCATCGATGGTTTATGAATTTTGTGATGTCTTAGGGTAAGAAAAGAGACTTTAATTCCAATCCATTATTGTATCATGCCTAATATTAACGGATGTAACTCATAAGCATATTTAGATAGGAGTCCAACAGCGACTGTCACTTAAGCAGAGAACGAAGGTATAACCTTTCCGGAGCCTCTGAGTTCAGCCCAAATAGTTTAATTCTCGTTGCTCAATCTTAAGTTGTCTGTGTAATGTTTTATGACCTGTTGTTAGTCTGTTCGTGTTATTCTTAATATGTTTTGTTTTCGACTTAGGGATTTTGATGGCCTCCATGATATATTCTGTCCATTTAAATGCCATTTTCAATTTTCTTATATTAGTTTTACTTTGCCGAATTGTTTTGAATGGTGTCTTGTTTACCCCTTTTCTGTTAATATTACCATTTGACACAATTTTTTATTTTTTATTTTTTTGGGTTTTATTATTTCCATTGATGTGGTACTCAGTAGTGTGTACTCATATTTTGTTTATTTGACCAGTATTATTTTGTTGTACGTTTCGTAATTTGTTTTGTAAAACGCATTTGTGCAACATCAGATAATGTCAACAAAAAAAGGGTGAAATGATCATGCTTATCTAATTACTCGAAGATATCTGTTTCCAACCTTAGCTATTGAGTTTCATCCCAGTTTGTGGTGTGGTTGGTTTTGTTTAATCTTTTGTTTTCCGTACAGTGTTTTGGCTATTATACGTCTATTCAATCTATTAATTTTGGTATTGTCTCCCTCGAATTCTTGGAACCTTTTTTATTATGCCCCCGCCGTAGCGGAGGGGGCATTAAGTAATACCCTTGTTCGTCTATACGTCCGTCCGTGCGTACGTCCCAAAATTTGTTTCCGTTCTATAACTTTAGTTTGGCTCAACCAAATGTTATGAAAGTTATACACAATGCTTATTACCACAAAACACAGATCAAGTTTGAATTTTGGTGGCGTCACTTTTACCGTTCTAGAGTTATGCCCTTTACAAATGGAAAAATTGCTGCATTTTTCGTTTCCGTTCTCTAACTTTAGTTTGCCTTAACCAAATGTTATGAAACTTATAAACAATGCTTATTACCACAAAACACAGATCAAGTTGGAATTTTTGTGGTGTCACTTTTACCGTTCTAGAGTTATGGCCCTTTACAAATGGGAAAATTGCTGAAATATAAGTTTCTGTTCTCTAACTTTAGTTTGCCCCAACTAAATGTTATGAAACTTATGCACAATGATAATTACCACAAAACACAGATCAAGTTCGAATTTTGCTGGCGTCACTTTTAATGTTCTAGAGTTATGCCCCTTTACAAATGGAAAAATTGATGAATTTTTCGTTTCCATTCTCTAACTTAAGTATGCCTCAACCAAATGTTATGAAACTTATGCACAATGCTTATTAGCACAAAATTCAGATCAAATTAGAATTTTGGTGGCGTCACTTTTACCGTTCTAGAGTTATGCCCTTTACAAATGGAAAAATTGCTGAATGTTTCGTTTCCGTTCTCTAACTTTAGTTTGCCTTAACCAAATGTTATGAAACTTATACACAATGCTAAATACCACAAAACACAGGTCAAGTTTGAATTTTGGTGGCGTCACTTTTACCGTTCTAGAGTTATGCCCCTTTACAAATGGAAACATTGTTAAATTTTTCGTTTCCGTTCTTTAACTTTAGTTTGATTCAATCAAATGTTATGAAACTTATGCACAATGATAATTACCACAAAACACAGATCAAGTTCGAATTTTGGTGGCGTCACTTGTAATGTTCTAGAGTTATGCCCCTTTACAAATGGAAAAAATTGCTGAATTTTTCGTTTCCATTCTCTAACTTAAGTTTGCCTCAACCAAATGTTATGAAACTTATTTACAATGCTTATTACCACAAACTTCAGATCAAGTTTGAATTTTGGTGGCGTCACTTTTACCGTTCTAGAGTTATGCCCCTTTACAAATGGAAAAATTGCTGAAATCTTAGTTTCTGTTCTCTAACTTTAGTTTGCCCCAACTAAATGTTATGAAACTTATGCACAATGATAATTACCACAAAACACAGATCAAGTTCGAATTTTGGTGGCGTCACTTTTAATGTTCTAGAATATGCCCTTTACAAATGGAAAAATTGCTGAGTTTTTCGTTTCCATTCTCTAACTTAAGTTTGCCTCTGAACTAAATGTTTTGAAACTTATTCACAATGCTTATTAGCACAAAATTCAGATCAAGTACAAATTTGGGTAGCGACACTTTTACAGTTCTTGAGTTATGCCCCTTTATAACGTTATATGCAAGCGGGGGCATCATCTGTGTCCCCATTTATTTTTTAAATAGTATGAAGTACGTTTTTGCTATTTTAATCATGATTTTAGTTTGAGATATCAATACAAATGTAAGATTGGCCGTTTTATAAAGAAAGATAGAGAGTCTATTTGAAAGCTGTTGACCAAAGTCTCAAATTATATGAAAGTTTCATTTATTTTATTGTCTTTCAACATATATTTTGAAGAAAAAATAATGCATTAAGAAGCAACCATTTATCTATACTAATTAATCTGATATTCAATATATACCGGCCAAAAATACACATTCCCGTAAAATTCAAGTCCGGTTTCGGACGTCATGTTTGCAAGTGATATGATATGAGTCAATTCACGGTAATTTATTTAATCGTTTTCTCAGCTGAAAATCTACATGTGTGATAGTGGATTTCAAGTGTTACCATGTATAGCTAAATCTTGTAAAATAGCTTTGGTAAAGAAATATGACCTTATTTACACAGTTAACATTATATGAACCATAACTGGAACAATAATTATGGAATTTCTTTTGACTGTTGGGGCTGTGGTATCAAAAGAGATGGACATCAAACAAAAAGCTATTGATTTTACAACTATGAAATTGGGAGTCTGAATCATACATATTGTATTCAATAGAATAGAATTTTGTTACTAGCTTTGAATGTGCAGTCGTGTTTTATTCTATTTATTATTACATTTCACTACAGGGAGCAGGTAAACCAAAATTAGCCATCTGTGACTAAAATCTCAAAGATTCCTCTTAAGAGATAACCTTAATCAAACATTTCATGTAAAATTATAATGTCATATAATGCATGTCGAAAGATTTTTTTCACATTTAACTTCAAATTACATATATTATTTCCTTGTAGGAACTGGAATAGGAATGGCCATTGTTTCTGGGATGTGTTGTCTGTACTACAATGTATTGATCGCCTGGACAATATACTTCCTGTTTATGTCTATGAGGACAGTCCTACCCTGGAGTACTTGTGGAAATGATTGGAATACAGAACATTGTTTCGTAAAAGATAAATCAATTGACACAGCATTTAAATATAACCAAACAGTTACAAACTTTACAACTTCAAAATATGGCTTACTCCAACAATCTGGTGTTCTGATGAACAGCACTAGTATTTTGAAACATAATTACACATCACCAAGCGAAGAATTTTGGGAGTAAGTTATGGTTGATTAAGATTTTTAAAAAGTTAATGAACGATATTTGAAATAAAATGCTCCACAGAATGCAACATGATACGACCACAGAGGTCGGACCATGAACAGTTGGGGCAAGTATGGACACAACATTGTGATTAAATATTTGACACAATATAGGTTTCTGACACAGAATGAACTTAAACATTTGAAATTGGACATTTACCTATTATGGTCCACTATCCAAAATCTAGATACATGGTTAGATTCCGCATATCAAGGTTCCTCAAATACTCATTTTTTTTATGAAATCAAACAAAGTTTAATTTTGGACCCTTTGGACCTCAATGTTGACCAATTTGATAACGTGACTCAAACTCCAAAATCTGAATACACGGTTAGATTCAGCATATCAAAGAACCCCATATATCATTTTTTTTGTTTAAGTCAAAACCGACAACTTATACATTTCTACACATAATGCCCATTAAGAAATTTTCGTCGCATATGTCTCACGAACTATAAATCAGAAGTTCCTTAAATTCCATGTCAAATTTGATGTATTTCATGTAGAATTTTATGTCAGGAACAAGCAGCTTGAATAACCCTTTCAAACATTTGTTTAAATGTGCTAGATTACTTAAATGTAGTAATTGAAGAACTGTGTGATACTTAATATTCCGTAATATTTGTGGTTAAAAAACTTCTCTTGACAAAACAGCAAACCACAAATCGAATTTCTCAAGTTTAGGTTTTTTGGTTTCAAAGATGTTTTGTGCTGGTATTTTGAACTGAAATTAAAGGAAGTCACATTTTATAACACAAAATCTACCTATAGATCCTATGATATTAACGGAAGAGTAATGTATCATTTTTGATTCAGGCAGCTACTTATTTGCATTATTTAAATATTCTTTATGACTTAATAACGCGCTTTTTGAGTCGAATCCCATTCATTTTAATGTACATCTTATTCTGGTAACGAGATTAAAATTGTTATATTTCAGAAAACATGTACTACAAATCACAGATGGCATAGAGAACATGGGAGAACTGAGATGGCAGCTGTTTTTGTGTCTTTTGTTTTCTTGGATACTTGTGTTTCTTTGTCTCTGTAAGGGTGTGAAATCGTCAGGAAAGGTAATGAAATGAAAATCAAGCATGATGAAAGTGATTTATTTATCATATTGATATTTTATTATGAAAGTGTTCGAACATCAAGATAAAAAGTGCCATGTTACTTGGTGCAGTCAAATTAGTAGTGTCAATATTATTATTTATTTCAATTTGCAATCAAACCAGCGTAAATGAAAATCGTACTAGTTTATACAACATGTGCATTACCCTTTTAGTTTTGACATTTGAATAAAAATATCTATATTTACAAAACTTGGTGAAAAAGTATAACAGAAATACTGAACTATAATTCTAAAAGGGGAAGTCCATAATAACTGACAAAATCGAACGTTATCATCCAACGGAACGAGTGAAAAAAACTGTCATATTCCTGACTTGGTACAGGCATTTTCTGAAGAAAATGTTGAGTTAAAGCTGGTAAATTATACAAATCAGGTAGAACCTTATGCTGGAATTTCTGTTGTTCTTCAGTGTAAAGAAGTTCATCGAGGGACAATCGCATTGGCGACAAAGTGTACTATATCATACATACCAGAGATGTTGTCCATCGTATTAAACACCATAATATTCGTCTTTTGGACTGTTAGAAAAGCATTTGAATATTACCATTTGTCATGTACAGGCACATTTATTGTTCTTGTTAGACACATTGTTATTGCATATTTCCCAAACCTAGCTAACAAAATATGTTATAACTTTTTCCCCCAATTTTATTTTTCTCATAATGTTCATTTGTTTGTTTATTTCTAAATTAAGTAGGGTTGATGAAAAGCATATATTGAATGAAAATATAAGACAACGTCTTGTTTTTCAGGTTGTGTATATAACGGCTACATTTCCTTATTTAGTATTACTTGTTTTATTGGTTCGAGGAGTCACTTTGCCTGGAGCCGTTAATGGATTGAAGTGGTATCTTATACCGAAGTGGGAAAAATTAGCAACATTTCAAGTATTGACATTTACACCTTATTATTTTTTTATTTTCTTAGCAACTCTTGTTTTACTGAAAATACCGTAAATGACTGACTAAGTATAGAACTTATATCCTTTTTATTAGTCACGTAATAGCAATAAATACACGTACCATTTAGTAAAGTATTAATTCTATTCAAATTATGAAAAGCGTGACAATTTTACTTTTAGTCAAAGATTTAGTTATAATTTAAGCATTTAGTTGGATGTCATTCTAATCGCGATTTAAAGATTTACTTTTTCATGCCTAAATATTTATAATTGTTTTAATCGTTTGTGGTCAGCTAATGAAACAATTATGCGAAAGAATGATGTAATGTTATTTTGTAATCTGGAGAAACATTGATCAAATCTTGTGTGCTATTAAGTGTTAAGCTAGCTTAAGTAGTTACGTAGGAGGGTTGATATTGATTTTTGCATTTCAATTTGGTTGATTGCTGTAAGAGGCATCAAAACTGATAAAGCTGTCGACTCTGATCATTTGAATTATACATAATCAGATAATGTTACATCAACGTGAGAATTTTAGATTTGCCTCGATTCTTCAGTTTACTTGTCTTTGAAATCAGTTTTTATTGCATCAACGAAAGTCTGTACAAATACATTTTAACAATCTTTAATTTGAAATTTATTAATATTTTCAATGACAAAAATTATCATTGTAGAGAATACTTTTTTTAAGAACAAAATATATATGGGAATCAAGTTCATACCAACTATCATCTACCGAAATATTTTGTTTTCGAAAAATAGAGAATGAAACTTAACTTCAAGAAAATATACAGACCATCACCAAAACATAATGTAGAATAGGAAAAAAACTTGAGTTATTCACAGATTAAGTAAATAAAGTTTTTTTTCCTGATGTGAGAGTGTGCAGTGCTGAGTTAAACAAGTTTACTTTGACACCTATACTTTAACATGAATTTAGAGGCAGTATTTAACGTACAAAATTTATTTTTCAGGTGTGGGGAGACGCTGCTGTACAGATATTTTATTCTGTGGGAATGGCTTGGGGCGGGCTTATAACATTAGCTAGTTATAACAAGTTCAATAACAACTGTTACAGGTATATACTGTCTGTTAAGCAATATATAGTGGTGTGCAATTAGTTGATTTATTTAATAATTACCTGTACGTCTAATACAATATGAATTAAAGTTAATATCTAATCAGTACACTAATAACATCACAGTCACATGTGAAATACCGATCATGAAATGAAAAGAAAAAAAATCTTCAGATTATTTAGAATTAGCCAAATTCCATTATTGGTCAAGATTAAATCAAGAATGAAAAAAAAGGAAAATTAACAAAAAAGAAGATGAATACAAGTGTGCTAACTTTCTCATTCATTGATAATTTTCAATTTGTACTCACTGTAGGGAATCAAATATGGGTTGTCTTGCAATTACTTCCAGTTCGGAAAATATGGATATTAATGCTCAATATCTTATTTCGAAAATCCTATTCAGTCTGTACGATCATCTGGTTAAGTTTTGTGAAGCAATAAAACCATTTTTGTGATCTGAAAACATTGAGGAAAAATTATACATCCCAATAATCTAAACAAAAGACGTAAGGTAAGGATTGAGATATTGCTTCATAATTATTTACCTCCTGAGTTTTCTTCTTTGTCGCTTCATTAAAGCATTTTAAAGTTGTCATCAAAATGCATAATTGTTTGCATGACATTAAAATTTTTTAAAGAACCCCAAAATATAACAGTCGTTAAATATGCAATAGATCAAGCCAGATATGATTCCAATGGGTAATGATAATGTTGGTTTTTTTTTGTTTTTTTTTTTATCTTACATCAATTACAGACAAGCTATGATTGTTCCATTAATGAACTGTGGAACCAGTGTTTTTGCTGGACTTGTGATATTTTCAATCATAGGATTCATGGCCCATGAAACTGGTGTTGAAATAGATGATGCTATTAAACAAGGTAGGCATGATAGAGTTTTAATGCTGTAAATATAATTATTCAGAAACATGGAATTTGGGTTTGTTCCATGTTTTTTAGCTTTTACTTTTGAAACAGGTAAAAGGCCATTGATTTATGTTTAATTTTAATTTGCGTTCGTCTATAGACTGTAGGGACTTAGAAAAGGTTTCGAACCTAATTGAAGTAACCGAGGCGAAATTTAAAGTTAGCAGAATGTTACATCAAACGACTGTATTAAAGTATATTTTTCAAAGCCACAACTACCAAACTTTTACTTTTCTTATTGCCATAAATGGTTTTGATGGTTCTCCTGGGACCAATTGAACAAATCGAAACCGAAATATGACAGAACGGTATCTGGTAGAAACGTATCATAGATATCAGGCTTATAATTTCGTACGCCAGACGCGCGTTTCGTCTACACAAAACTCAACATTGACTCTCAACTGAAAACAGTTAGAAGGCCAAATCAAATATGAAATTGAGGAGCATTAAAAATAGGAATTTCCGAAAGGTTTTGCAAAATGGGGCTAAATAAAGGCAACAGTAGTATACCGCTGTTCGAAATTCATAAATCGATTGACATAAAAACAAATCCGGGTTACAAACTAAAACTGAGGGAAACACATCAAATATAAGAGGAGAACAACGACACAACAGAAACACAACATTAAAATGTAACACACACAGAAACGAACTATAATATAACAATGGCCATTTTCCTGACTTGGTACAGGACATTTTAAGAAAAAATGGTGGGTTGAACCTGGTTTTGTGGCTAGCCAAACCTCCCGCTTTTATGGCAATGTTAAATATAACATCACAATGACAACATTACATGACAGGACTACAATACAAATAAATAGGAGGACATATAGGACAGAGAAACATACGAATAATAGCTAACAAAAGGTACCAGGTTAAAAATTTAATACACAAGACGCGCGTTTCTATGCCTAGGGGTTCGAATAATTCCACGCTATATAAACAGTAGAAATCCTTATGAGTGGTAATACATTGGTTCTGATCGGCCAATCAAAACGGCCTTGATCAAATGAAATATTTTGTTTTTGCTTTAGGCCTAAGGGGATTACATAGAATTACATTTTAAGGAAATCTTGAACCAGTTGTAACCAGATATAATAGAAAAATACTTGTGAATCATGGATGGGCAATCCTAGGCCAACGGACTGAAATTGGGGAATCAAAATTGGGAGTCTGGAGGAAAACGAAAGTCAAATTGAACAAGATAGCACATTAGACAAACAAAACAATCTGTTTTCCATAAGAAAACACTTAGACTAAATCATTACAAACTCCCTTCAAAAAGTAATAAAATTGCGGGACTGTTATGCGATTTGAATATGTAGCTATGTATAAAACAAAATAAACACTTCATAAATCCCGTGAGGTCTTCTCGATTATACTGATTTTTCTAATGCTTCAATAATGTAAGCACGTAAGCTTTACATTTGAGCTTTTTGAAAGATACAAAAAAGTTTTCTCATGAACGGGAAAAGCCATTGGAAAAGATATAATTCAAATGTTCCTTGTAAGGTGCCTATCGGGTGTTGCAACAATATGACCGTCAGCGAATGACTTCATCTTATCTTGAAGATATTGAACTCTATAGAAAAAATTATCTATAGAACCATTCATCCAATTGAAACGATATAAAACAGACATTTCTTGTATAGTATTTGTATAGTGCTGTTGCTTTAATATTATTGGCCTTACAATATGACAGTGGACATGTGACTAAGCTTAACATTTGACTTGTTTGAAATATATTTAATTTCTTGAGAAGAAAATAATTAAATGACAGATATACGATGCTATCATGATGGTTGCTTCTTGGTGGTGATCGACAGGAAATGTATTAATCAGCTGTAATGTTTAATTTACATTGAAATATACAGGAACTGATTAGAAAAGTTAACTTTAGAATATGTGATTTTCTTAACACAAATGACATAGCGGCCACATGAACTATAACGCATCCTCTTACCTTTAGTGTTTAGTAATACAACTGCACAGTAAAAATACTAGTATCTCACAAGATAATGATGATTTTATATAAGATACTAAAATTCTATGCTATTTAAATGAAATTTGTAAATACATGTTTATCTTTGTATAATTTTCCCAACAACGTTATACATATTTTTTTTATATTGCTGAAGCCTTACAAAGATTAGTAAAAACTAATACATGTATCCTTAAATGAAATCGAACACGTTTTACTGGTATATATAGATTATTTTAAAAATAAGCATTTTCTGTACAGGTCCAGGTTTAGTGTTTGTTGCCTACCCAGCAGCTCTTGCAAAGCTTCCAATATCTCCACTGTGGGCAGTCCTATTCTTCCTGATGCTGCTGTCTGTAGGATTGGATACACAAGTAACTTTATGAAATGCTTAATTGTATAAGTTAAATATTTATTGCATGCTTCTTGAAAATGCATATGTCCGTTTTTTCTAAAATGCACATATATAATTTATGTTTATTTCGGTTTCTTGAATAAAATTTGTCACATTAAATTAAATTTTGATTCGTACGGGCACATGCATTTTATAACATTTTAACAAATAATGGAAATATTTTTCAGCTAGTGTAAAGTAATGCTATTTTGTATAGAACTCTTTTCATTGATCACCTAATTATTTGGAAAACCTCCTGTTTCCTGATTACAGTCTGTTTTATGTGGACTATCCATCGTGAAATTCCTCGGTGCAGATTAAATATATACAAGCATGATTACAGAAATTTAATATATAATTATTTTAGGTATTATATGAAAATGCAAAATTCAAGGGTCAATAGGTCTCATTGGCAATCATACGAAATCTCCTTATTTTTATATACCTTTATAAGAAGTATATTTTCAGTACTTCAATTTTTAGTTTTCACTGCACAAAGATCTGTATTTATTAGAAATATTAAATATCTACCCCTACTTTTATCACTCACAAAAATTTAAGAAAATTTGGAAAATTAACCCATAAACACAATTTTGGCCACTTTCATTATTCTTTTTATATTATTTTAACTTAAATTGTACAAGCTTTTAAATAAAGATATAAATGAAAAAGTTCAAAATCTTAAATATACTTCAATATCTTCACCCTAATTGTATGCAGTTTTCTTACAGGCACTTCTTTCCGAAATATGTACATGTACTTCTATATATTAAAGGTTCAGACAAATAAACAAAGCACTGAACACATTAATCTGAATTTTATTTCCAGCTTAGTAATGGGCAAAGATTTTTCTTCTTGGTTAAATCAAAAGTTTGACAGGGCTATCCCCAATCGCTCACTACATTAAAATGTAAATAAAAATTAAGACATGCCTTGAAGATAAAAATATTGTGGTCAACGTCCAACGTTATGAATTTACATAATTTTGAAGTGTTAGTCCTCCTTAAAAACGAAAACAATATCAAGTAAATTGCTTTGCGGAACAATAATAGTGTTATCTTAGACATGTAAGAAGGAAACTGATTTTTCTTTAAACAACAATACTTTGTGTACATTATGAGTTATTATCAGACTCATAAACTTCCTCTTCAATCTTTTAAGGAATAAGTATCTGCTTGAAATGTTTAGTAAACTTGTTAGTGTATAGGTATATATTTTAATTTTAAGAAAAAATTTCCTCATGCAATATAAAAAGAATTTTTTTCTTAAGAATTTTGTTGCAGAATGGAGTCTTTTATAGCATCTTCATATTTGTAAAAGTAGTTTAGATGTCTTTAAAATGATCTAATGTGTTTGATATTTATTTTTTAACAGCAAAACAGGTAAAGTCCCAAGGTAGAGTGTATTTGTGCATGAAAGGCTGAGTTGAATATATATTATGTCCACAAATATGTTTGAAAAAACTATCTGTTTTCAGAATTGACTAATTATTATTTTTTTACATTAAGGGTAAAAACGGTTTGATTTTTAAATAAGCTGAGAACGAATAAGAAATCTTACATTGAATTGTATTTATATTCCTAATTCCTAAAAAAATCATAGCACAACCTTTTGTAATCAAGCTTTTAGATTTGCAAAATAATATCTTAAAAGAAAATCATGTGGACATATATTGAATGATTGTGATATAGGAAAAAGTTTCTCAAAAGCTTAGTTACATAAAAAAAAAATTGGGAATTTTAATCGGTCTTGGGATATAACCCTATTTTTCCGCTATTTAGTTATTTATCAGTGCTGTAGATATAAAGTTTCCAATGTTCCCACTGTCCACAATATATGAAATTATCCGGCATCCGGAGTCGTGAGTAAAAAGAAAAATTACTTGAATAGGTGATAAAAAAGTTTATAATTAAAACAATACCGACATATGAACATACTTTATTTATGATAGAATGTAAATTTTCAACATTCAATTTGGCAGAAAGAGTTCTGAGGATTGCAAACCCATTTTCTTTCGGATTATTAATAGTTACGATGATATAAAAATAGATAAATACAAACGGGACACACTGACCATTTCAAGTTTTACTACCTTCACTCCTTTTAAGAAAATCAGAATCAGAATCTATTCAACATTAGAACATCCTTCATTAAGTATTTGAAAATATATATATATATGTCAATACAAACTACAATCATTTGATCTCGGAAGTAAATGTACAATTGCAACTATCCATTCAAATTGTAATACCAAAATCTACAATAATAAAAAAAAATAACAACACAGATTTCTTGTATTTACGTCTTGCAATTTCATAATAATCTGTATAATAAATTTTGATGTCAAATCAAAAAGTTTCTTATATATCTCACGAATTGTGTTCCACTGAAATTTCGAATTTTATAGGACAGTAAAATGAGCAATAAACTATTAATTGAAACGTAATAAGTGTCGTAAAAAAGTCCAGTGAAGTGACCTGATTGTTTTTCTAATTGTTAATAAGATACAGCTTTGAGAGACTTTTTTGTGAGAAAATTTGTGTGGTAGCGTATGAATGTTATTCATATCCTTGGTCCAAGATGATTTGTTGTGCTGCTGAACAAAGGAAGTCAACGTAAAACAGAATTATCATCGCCGGATGGTGGTAAACAATTCTTGATATAAAATATTTACTATATATATACATATATGAACGGTGCATTTATGAATTTTATTAGCTACTCAAAAGAATTTTTCGAATTAATTCATGTAATTTAAAGAAGTTATTCAAGTCATTAGATTTATAATATTTCAGAGTGTATGTGTGTAAAGACCAAATGTGAAGAAATATTAATTTCTATCAAGACAGAAATGATAAAGATGTAAACTTACTAACTCCCTTTTTGTGAAAGGGTTGTTAGTTGAACAATTCATGAAGTGCACCAATTGGTTTAATTACAAGGTATAATGGTAATCACAAAGGTCAAATAAGGTCAATTACTGTTCAAAGACATACATTTTGTCGCTAATATGATACTTTTAAGTTATGCAAAATGACCAAATGTACTTAAAGTTTAGCATCTTTATGATTTACGATGTTATTATCTTACACAATCATTTAGTAAATGACACTAGTCTATTTATAAACATCCATATTCATTTCAAATTTAGAACTGACAAATGGGATATCTTTTAATTTATGCATTCATACACTTAATTATACATGTCATATTAGCGATAAACTTATGTGATATGCAGGTTTCATTGTATTTTTGTTCTCATATACACCCTTATTTTCTATTTGTTATGTTAAATGTCATTTGTTAGATTTTCATTTCTGCTTAAGATCTATCAAAATTTTAAAACTCATTAGAATTCTAAAATATATTCATTTATTATTTTCCAAGAAAAAGTTCTGATACACGATGTTGTTTAAACCACTCTAAAGCTTTCAAATATAACACCTAGACTTCAATTGAATGATTTCATTCAATCAGCCATTACAAACAAAAAGGGTAAATATAAAAAAAAAACTTTTTTGCTGAATCAAAGCTTTAGTGGTCTGATTTAAACCCAAACCAGTGTATTTTATTCGAACATTAATTTGTAATTACCTGATTGATATTTTAATATATAAAACTTTTAATATTTATTACATATCAAATGTAATTTGTTCCACATTTCAACAGCTACATGAAAAAGTAACACAAATGTATCGAGACTTGTTCATCAAAACCACATATAGTAAGCGTTAAATTATTCCTCAATTATGGTGTACTTTAGAACAAAACAACAATATATTCTATGGAAATAAACAAATGCATGCATATTGAAAAAGTTGGGAATAAAATGAAAATGAAAATATAAGGCAAAGTTTGGAATTCATTTATACAGTTTGCAAAGCTTAGAAACGGTTTCCTTTTCAAAGTTTTTAAGTAATATCATTCAAAAGAATTATACTTTTTTAAAACATTCATTTCCCAGCTTCTTTATCAATATTTCAATAGTCAGTTTGTAAAAGGTATTTCTTGTTTTGTAACATTTGTTTTATTTTTCTAATTGTAGTTTGGAATGTTTGAGACAATGATAAGTGCATTCATAGATGAATATCCAAAATATTTACGAAACAGGAAAATGCTGCTCACTGCATTTGTATGTTTTGTAGAGTTTTTATTGGGAATTCCATGTATTATGGAGGTAGGTATTTGTACAAAAACTTATTTGCAGTAAAACTTGGACTGGATGTAAATGAGAAAATTATCTTATGATATATCTTCTATGTTGCTATTATATCAAACAACAAGCACTTTAAATGTCGTCCTTCAACTTAAGCTGCTAGAGTATGATGATTGAAATTAACTCACATTGGCCATATAAAAAATACCACACATCTCCCTATTTTCATAAATACTGCACCATAATAGAAACGTCGCTTACATTAAACGGTATTATTACAAATTATAACAATGTGACCAATATACATCAGAAGGTGATTTCAAGCAGATTTCGTAACTGCATTAGATTCTAAAAATGTTTTTTGTGTACATCTAATTATAGGTGATTTTTCCCGTTTTTGCTTTGAAAACTTTAAAAGAAAGTAATTGTTGCACCCGACTAAAACAATTAATCCTAAAAGATCGGCGTCGTTGCACCCGACAAAAATTTTGATCCTTTTTTGATTTTTTGAAACTATTGCAGAAGGAGAAAATCTTGAATACATAAAAGCATTAGCAAAATAAGATCTACACATAAGTAGACATGGTCGAAATCGTCGTTTACCCGTTTTAAAGTTATAGCATTTGAATTATGATTTTAGGAATTGACTTTAGATCCATTTTCTTCGAATCTTTACATCCATAGTTTTCAAATTTTTTGAAAAGTCCGTTTGAGATGAAGATTAATTCAGAAAAACACGCTTCGGAGTACAAAATTTATAAAGTGCTATTTTCATACATTGACCAATTTTGTATATTTTAAATAACAAACGACTAAAGTTTCCATTAAAGTATCATTATGATTCAGCGACGACTAAAACTAAAACAATCAATTACGATTTTTTGTTTGGTTTAAAAGGTCTTAAAACATTTATAAAAGCAGAATATTAAAATAATATTTCGCTGTAAGCAGTCACCATTGTTCCATTTTGTTAAAATAAGCTGATGGATTATTGGCTTGCAAGGCATAAAAGATCAATCTCCTCAAGTTATGAATAATGACTAAACATTTAATTTATATGTGTTATGCATGGATTACTAGCAGAACAAAGAAAATTGACCTTAGACTATTACATGTTCTAACCTATCTTTGGAGTTTTACACTTACCTGTCTGTTTAAATTTATAATAAAACGGGGTCATGTGCCATCGACAGTTTTCGTAGGTAATGTCGGTAGTTTGTTAGATGCCGTCCAGTCAAGGAATACACACGAATTGTTGATTCTCTTATAACGATTCTAAACATTGTGTATTGTTCTTTATGGAATTTTAATTTGTAGTTCTGATATACATTTTAGTATATATTAAATTAGATTTTAGAGTTTGAATAATTAGATTAGAAAAATTTGGCTGCTAATGCCCCTTTAAATAAAAAGGTATGAGATGTCACATGAATTAGAAAATGAAAAAAATAATATAAATCTATCAAATAACATGCTTCAGGTTCAGCAATATTTTTTCATCAGATATAAACATATATATAATTTTGTCGTGCATATTTCCATATGGGCAGACCACTATTTCCATTTAAATGTTTAGAAAGAATGGAATAATTTTCTATTCATTCCAATTTAAGGTGCCAAATAAAGATTTTATCATACTTCTCCTTTATTATTATACAACCGGAAAATTTTGGCGGCCTTATAATGGTATGACATTGTCGTCGTCGTCGTCGTCTGAAGACATTTGGATTTCAGACAATAACTTGAGTATATGTGTATGGATCTCTTTAGGAAATTGTACCACAAGGTTCCATACCACAAAAGGAAATGTTGGGATTGATTTTAGGGGTTATTGCCCTATCTGTTTATTATGAATTAGGGGTTAAAAAGAGGCCAAAAACAAGCATTAATCTTGTTTCAGGACAATAACCTGTGTATAAGTGTACGGATTTCTAAAGAATTGTACCACAATGTTTTATACCAAATGATGAAGGTTGTGATTGATTTTGGGGGTTTTGCTCCCAACCGTTTAGGAAAAAGGGGCCAAAAACAATACTTTTTTCTAATACTGTGTATAAATTGATTATATCTTGTGACCAATTTCAATGGGATTTAATTCAAAGTCTTGAATTTTTGGGGTTCTTTAATATGCAGAATCTAACCGTGTATTTTAATTTGCGAGTTAAGGCCCAGTTTTTAAATTAGTTCACTTTGAAGTCCAAGGGAACGAAATTAAACTTTTTTTGATTGAATTTAAAATTGAATTATTGGGGTTCTTTGATATGCCAACGCTGACCTTGTATTTAGATTTTTAAATATGGGTCCGTTTTTCAAATTGGTCTAAATTTAGATCCTAAGGGTCCAAAATTAAACTATGTTTGATTTCAACAGACATTGAATTCTTGGGGTTGTTTGGTATGCTGAATCCAACCTTGTATTTAGATTTTTGACATTGGGCCCGGTTTTCCAATTGGTCATCATTAAGTTCCAAATGGTCCAAAATTAAACTTCGTTTGATTTTAACAAAAAAATGAATTCTTGGGGTTCTTTGATACGCTGAATCTAAACATATATTTAGATTTTTGATTTAGGGTCAATTTTTTGAGTTGGTCCAAATCGGGGTCAAAAGAACTTTTGTTTGATTCCATCAAAAATTGAATACTTGTTGTTCTTGCATATGCTGAATCTAACCATGTATTTAAATTTTGGATATTGGACCATAATAGGTAAATGTCCAATTTAAAAATATTAAGTTCTTAAATCACATTCATTCCGTGTCAGTAACATATGCTGTGTCAAATATTTAATCACAATCCAAATTCAGAGCTGTATCAAACTTGAATGTTGTGTCAATATATACTTGCCCCAACTGTTCAGGGTTCGACCTCTACGGTTGTGTCAAGCTGTGCCCTGCGGAGCATTTTACTTTTTATCAAATCTTTTATGTTAAAAATGAAGTATTCGGATTCTTAATGTGTACATATGCATGCATAAAGACGCCTTGACAAAAAAATATTCCTTCCTCCAATTTCTGTTGTGTCTTTGTTCACCTCTTATATTTGATGTGTTTCCCTCAGTTTTAATTTGTAACCCGGATTTGTTTTTTCTCAATCGATTTATGAATTTCGAACAGCGGTATACTACTGTTGTCTTTATTTTACAATTATGAAATCTGTATATTCATTCTATTTATATAATGAAATTATTATTATATGTAAAATAAAAAAAATAATAACCGAAAGACTGGCTATGTTTACCTGATAACTGAATGGATTAATTGACAATTTCTTCAAATATTCATAATTATATAATGGTTACAGGGAGGGATATACGTGCTGCAGATCATCGACTGGTATTGTGCTGTCTTCTCTTTGATGTTGCTGTCATTTACTGAATGTGTTATTATAGCTTGGGTATATGGTAAGTTTTCAGATTAAACCAACATTTTAATAGTTCAGTTATCGTTATGAATTGTATTATATTAATGGACGACTGAATTATTACCTATAGATCAGATCTAGTTAAGAATATCTCGTTAGCAGCTTTCAACACTTGTTTTGCTCGCTTTTTTCAATAATATTTTCAACAGGTGCAATGTCATAACTTCAAAATCAATACAAGAACGTTATGTGCTCTGACTGCATCATTACGTTAAGGCAAACAAAAGTCCATTTACATGACAGTTCGAGTACGGTTGCGTTTCTTACATTGACCCCTGTTTTTATAAATGGTCCAGCAGTAAAACTATTGTTTGTTCATTTTGCAAAATTTATAGAGAAAACATGGTAGTTCGCATATGGTTTTATTTGGTAATTTCAACCAAACTGAACTGCGTCTTGCAAATAAAAGTTTTTAAATAAGAACGAGACAACAATCAACGGATAGAAACACATACGACTATCAACAATAAACAAATGTTCTAAATAGTAACTCAAGATTTAAATCAGCATGCATCTAGTAAATTTTAGAAGAGATTAAACGTACTGTAACTTCTGATCTATTGATGTTTCATCATGTAAGTTTCGTTTTGTTCGTCCGTAAATTGTTTTATATTTTGATATTCCAATGTAGATAAAACAATTGCTGCTCCTTTTTCTCAAACACAGTTGGTCGATTAGCAGTATGTTTCTAATTCAAGTACTAACTTCTATGTAAAAGGGTTTATGTGATATTGCTGTTAATAATGGTATATTCATGGCATGTCACTTAAGTCATTAATGTAATATTTCATAATTAAAGAGATTTCAGTGAAATAATTCAAATGGTTTAATGGCGGCGGAATGCCCTTTCAATTAATTACTTCAAAGCTCTAAAGAACCTCACACACAATATTTAAAAAAACATAGTATCTGATACTGCATAATCAATGCTGACATATAAACCTCATCATGACTTGTTTAGGAAGACAAAATTGTTCACTAAATTCTGTGTTTCATTGTTAGACTTTCGTTGACAATGAAATGCTACATGGCGAACTACAGAAATGCTTTACTTCTTATTATGTATGGTTAATAAATGTGAATAGTGGCCTAGAATCCCATAAAGAATCACATTAGCAATTATCATAAATATTTGATGAAATAAAACGAGAAAAGATTAAAAAAAAATGATTTAAAATTTTGAAATACATAAAACCATAAACGTCATGATATACTTCAGAAAAAAGTAAAATCGCAAAAATACTGAACTCCGAGGAAAATTCAAAAAGGAAAGTCCCTAATCAAATGGTAAAATCAAAAGCTTAAACACATCGAACGAATTGATAACAACTGTCATATTCCTGACTTGGTACAGGCATTTTCTTATGTAGAAAATGGTGGATTGAGCCTGGTTTTATAGCTAGCTAAACCTCTCACTTGTATGACAGTCGCATCAAATTCCAGAATATTATAGTTGGATTAATGATCGGGAATGACGAATGACATCGATAAAAAAAATAAGCTTTTCTTGACTTTGAAGGACACAGAACTAGAATAGTACGAATAAGATAGGTAAAATGTTATAAGAATAATTGGTATCCATTTGTTTCACAGGTGCTGACAGATTTTTAAGTGACATCGAACTAATGATTGGATACAAACCGTCAATATGGTGGAAGATATGTTGGCAATTTATAACACCCATCGTCATTATAGTAAGTGTCTTGAATATATTCAAATATAAGCGTCTTGCTTATTTACAAACGTAAGTGTTTTGAATATATAAAAACATTAGCATTTTGAATTTTTAACCGGATTTTCGAAGGAAATATCGGTTATTGATTTGGGATGTACGGCGGGCGGGCGGGTGGTCGGGCGGGCTGACGGGCGTCTGCCAAACAGTGTCTCCTCAATAACATAAAAATGCTTTGATGAAATTTTTCCAAATTTAGATATGTTGTTCCCTGTGACTAAATGAAGGCCGAGTTCAATTTTCACGATTTTCGCTTTTCTCCTTGTTGAGTTATCGCCCTTTTTAATATCCAAAGGTGGTATTTATAATGGGATTGAGTTATTTATCTTTGTACAGAAATGGTTAGTTATACATATAAAGTTTGATTACAGTAAGTGTTTTTGAATAGTTTTCTCTTATCTTTTATCAAATTATGACTAACATATGGTAAATGTTTATACCACAATTATAATTGGAGTGACAGATTTATTTTCTGTTTCCCAAGTGCTGATGATTATAAGCTATATAGGACTGTATAAATATAGTAAGAAATTTACTGTTCGTTTTTAGACATTTTGAAGATAATTGCAGATAAGTTTTATAGATTTTTCAAAGACATTGTATTAATGATAAATACAAATTTTGGATTCTTTTTTTCTTTTCTTTGGTAAATTGTTTTAAGAATTTTGTTGTCATTTTGTTTGTTATTCTGTAAAAACTAATTTTCTGAATGTTATATATAATTTTTGTTGATGAAGTGAACTCCTTTGAAAACTAAGCTTATATTGTCTATTAATAAACATATATTTAGATTTCTGATTTTAGGCCAAGTTTTTAAGTTGGTTCAAATTGGGGTCCAAATTAAACTGTGTTTGATTTCAACATGAATTGAATATATATAGGGTTCTTTCAAATGCTGAATCTAAACATGTATTTATTAGTCCCCTACCGACGAAGTCGAAGGGGATTTTAGGTTTGCACTCCGTCCATCTGTCTGTCTGTCTGTCCGTCTGTCTGTCCATCTGTCAGTCCGGCAAATCAGTTTTCCAGACTTTTTTTCTTCGTGCTTGAAGATATTGATTTGATATTTGGTCTATTGATTTATCATGACAAGTTACAGGTCAAGTTAAATTTTCACGATTTTAGCTTTTCTCTTTGTTCAGTTAAAGTCCTTTCCCTAGAATTAAATTTTTGATGAAATACTTATTAATTAGTAGATTTCTGTTCGAAGGGAAATGACTCATTTCTTAAAAAGACAAAAAGACATTTTGGATTCTTTTCCTTTTCTTTGGTAAATTGTTTGAAGAATTTAGTGGTAGGTTTGTTTGTCATTGGCTTGAAGATATTGATTTGATAATTAGTATATAGTTTTATCATGACAAGTTACAGATCAAGTTGGAATTTTGTTCCAGTCTGATAATTTTGTGCAGAGTTATGGTCTTTGGACATAGAAAATTCACTTAAATAATCAGTTTTCAACAGTTTTTTTCGTCATGCTTGAAGATTTTGACTTGATATTTTTATGTTACGTTTACACCATGACATGTTATAGATCAAGTTAGAATTTCGTTCCATTACAATGAATTTGTAACCGGTAGGGGACTATGTATTGCCATGCAATACTCAAAGAATGCTTGTTTTCATTATTAATTAGATAATACCACATTGAGGTCCAAAGGGCCTAAATTAAACTTTTGTTTAATTTCATCAAAAATTGAATTCTTGGGTTCTTCGATATGCTGATTCTGACAATGTTTGAGTGTTAAACCATATCTAATTTAAGAGAACTTAGTCATCACTGGTTTTATTATGAAGTGAACTTCTTTAATTAGATAATAATCTATTTTTATTATCTAAAGGATATATGTCATTACATTTAAAGATGTTGACATTGATAAGTTGCATATCTGTATTAGTTTGTGATAAATGAAAGAAAAATATTTCGAACTATTAATTATATTTGATTATAATTTGAAAATAGATATACATTGTGTTACATCATATCTTATTTTAGAGAATTATTACTCATTAATCATATCTAATGTAAGAGTACTATGTTAAACCATATTTCTGTTCAAAGGGAAATAAATCAAATTTACTCCATAAGCCAGTAATGATTCACCAAAGTTTTATGCAAATTGGTTAAAGCTTTTTTAAGTTAATGTCCGACCTGTTGACGACGGACGCACAGACGGACGGACGGACAGAAGGACAGACGGACAACGGTATACCATAATACGTCCCACAAACGGGCGTATAAAAATGTAGTCATTGAGAATACGTATCAATTTTATTGTTGTGTGTGTTAATGTTTAATTTTTACATGATCCTGTTTGGGGTTCAGATATGCAAATATCATTTTCATTATTTATTAGATAATAATCTATCCAAGATATTCAATCACAATACAAATTCAGAGCTGTTTCAAGCTTAAATGTTTTGTCCATACTTGCTCTACTCTTCAGGATTTGACCTCTGCAGGAAAATCCGGTTTGCTCTCACTCGACAGCCTCTTGTTACAAATGTAAGCGTCTTGAATATATATACAAATGTAAATGTAAAATATGATTATCTTGAAAATAAACAAATGAAACATGATTTGATATTAAGAGAAAATGTTAAGTTGTGCTTGGAAATCAAATGTATCTCAAAAATAAGGAATATCTATGTAAATGAACAAAGGAGATATTGATACGTATTCTCAATGACTACATTTTTATACGCCCGTTTGTGGGACGTATTATGGTATACCGTTGTCCGTCTGTCCTTCTGTCCGTCCGTCCGTCTGTGCGTCCGTCGTCAACAGGTCGGACATTAACTCAAGAATATCTATTAACATGAGCTCCCTTTCGATTTTTATATATTTTAGATTTTACGTTTCCGAGTTACAGGGTTTCATTCATAAAAAAAGGGGGATTTTCCAGTTTTCTGACAAAAAACAAAAATGCTTTCAGCAGTTCTTATTAAACTTTGATGAATTTTTTATATCTATTGATGTAAGCTCTATTTAGAATTTTATAAATTTTACATTTTACATCTCTGAGTTATGGGGTTTTATTCATTAAAAGGGGGGATTTTCCAGTTTTCGGACAATAACTCAAAATTGCTGTCAGCAATTCTCATGAAACTTTGGTGAATTGTTTATATCTATTGATGTAAGCCCCCTTTACATTTTCATAAATTTCTATTTTGACATTGAGAATTAATTGAACTTTAATTGTTTATAGTCTGACAACAGATTTACTAAGTATTGCGCAACAGCACAGTGTATTGTACAACAGCAAGAAATCTTTAATTGAATATATATTCAATTCATATAACCAATTTCAAGTTCTTTGACTACATTTATTCAGAAACCTATAATATGTCAAATATTTAATACAATCCAAATTCAGACCTGTATCAAGCTTGAATATTGTGTCCATTTTTGCCCCAACAGTTCAGGGATGGACCTCTGCGGGCGTATCCAGCTGCGCTCAGCGAAGCAGGATTTGAAATAAAACATTTCTGTTTCTGACCAATAGTTATGCTCTGTATATTCCTTAAATAAATACACATTTATAAAAGGGCAAAATTGTAATTGAAGTCTTCCTAAAATTAAATCAGATTAAATAATTGGTTTGTTGAATCATGAAAGACGGTGCTGATATCGTGATACATTACCTGTCACATCACTCCTCATTGGTATAAATTTGTTCGGTGGGAACTCTTTATGATTTTCAGATTTATTTTTAATATTTGATCTATTTCGACTTCCATATTATTCTAAATGTTCTTTCTCAGACACACAGACGCGTATAAAGAAAGAGAAATGAGGGAACTACTTTTGACAGCACATAACATTGGTCATAGTGCATCGAAAAAATTTTCAAAAATATTTTCCGTCAGATTAATGAACAAATTTAACCCTATTTTCACAATAATAATACTTAGGCTGTGACGATTATAGTTTGTAAATTATATAACGTAAAAGAAAACACCTAAAGATAGAACATAGTAGCAAAATGCAAGGGAATTTAATATCCACAATGTCGACCTTCTTTCAATTCATACCAAAATTAACAGATGACTCCATAAGGAGTTATTGCCCTTAAGTGATGATTGTTTTCCAATTTTAGTCATTCTGCCTATTATCTTGAAAATTATATAAAAAAGACAATAACTTTAAAGAGTGAAGATGATCTTTAAAAATAACTCTCATTACTGAAACCATTCATTGCCTTATTATAGGAGTTATTGACCGCTGTAAAGGACTATTTGGCCAATTTTAGCATTAATGTTAATTATCTTAAATACTAATATAGGTAAATAGAAATATTACCCAGCATAAATGATCTATTCAAATGTCTTCAACGTGTGTAATTGGTTTTGGTTTTTAAATAATTCAGCCTCAGGCATTTATGAAGGGACATTAATTGTCGAAATATCCATCTATACTTCCTACTGGTGATAGATGATGAGATTGAAGAGAAAGGCAACATTTTTGGTCATCATTAGAATAACGACACCTTTTCTAAATAAACTATGTTCACACAAAATAACAACTTTCAATTTAAATTCCAAACATATTGATTTTTTTTTCAGAGAAGGTTTATTCAGCATGAACGTGATTTGTCAATAAAAGTAACAGTCATTCAGCTGAAATCAATCACCATAAAATCCAATTGTCTTGCAAATTATTATTTTCTTCTAAAATTCCATTTAGAGTTATTTGATTGAAACTAAACGTTATTACTTTTGTCGATAATAAAATTATATATAGAATTAATATATAAATTCAAATGACTACTGTTTATATCGGTAGGATGATTTTGCAAATGAAAATAGTTATTATGTACCGTCATTTTGATTTGATAATATTTATTCAGGAGTTGTGGTCTATTACACTTTGCATATGTTTATATTTTACATACATGTCTTGTGAATGAAACGTCTTCTTCTTTGTATGATTTCTGTCTTATTTACAAGATGTCAGAGATGTTAGATAGCTATGTATAAAATATTATGCGATTGTCATGTTTTGACGAAACAATTTATGCAAGAGGTGTGGTACTATAAACCATGTTTGTACTGATGTCTTGCGAATGCTACCTTAAGAAAACGTTAAAGTGATAAATCGCACATCTTGTAACGTTTAACACGTTCGTTCCTCATGTTTCTTTGACAACTTCAAAGGAAGTTATGACATCTTGACATTTCAAATGTCTTCGTATTTGTAAAAGTTTCCAACCCCCATGTTTTGTTTTATTAGGCAATATTTGATGTATTTGGTTTCGATGGTGTTCCCTGGCACAATTGAAGAAAAAAGCGGAGAATATGACATTCCATAAACATTTTCCTACAAATTATGAATTAACCCAATTCTAGTTCGAAAATGAATCGATCTCATAATTTCTAAGGTGCTTGGCCGTTTTGAAATATGCAAATTCATTGTCAATGGGTTTTGATGAAATTTGTCAGAAATTTATATTACTTTTTTCTACGAGATTTATTGCCACCCAAAATGTTAAAAATCAAACGTTTTAATGAAAAGCGAGCACAACAAAGTAATGCTTCTTTTCTAATGTTTGCAGAGATCATAAGTTTAGGTCCAAGTAATAATCTAAAGTGAAAGTATAAACCTGATTAACCCGATATATATGTTACGTAGATAAAATAATTTATATTCGACTATCCTATTGTAGCAGAATTTGTTACAACAGCAGTGACATGTGCAATACATATCGTTTTACGTGAAAAAAAATCCAATAATTTTCGGCAGACCAAAGTTAAGTTTTGATCTGTGAGAGCTGTTTCAATTATGCAAATTGGTGCTTTTGGGCCATCTGATTGCAACAATGTCAAGCAATTTATTCTTTTTTGCAAGTTTAATAGAAAATACTGAAATATGCAGAAGATAAAAATGGTATATTAAAATACAAATAATGACGACAAAATAAATACAATTTGAAAAAAGATAATAAACCATATTTTTATTCCTAGCAAGAGTTGATATTCAGTTATAGGTTAATGTTCTTTCTTACAGGGTGTTTGGCTGTTCAGTATAATCCAGCTGAAACCTGTGTCTTATGGTGATTATCAGTATCCTGGTTGGGCGATTGCTGCTGGCTGGATGTTAGGGTTGGCATCGATCTTACCATTACCAGCTTATATGATATATGCAATTCTTACGACTGATGGAAATATGTTACAAGTAGGTATCCGCATATTGAAATTCACAGATCAACGAGACACGAAAAATGTCTATCTGGAAAGGAATAGCTTATATTAATGGAATCTTATTTGATTTTACGAGTAACGAGTGACGGTAGTCTAAACCCAATTACAAGAACACCAGTCAACCAGCTGTATCTGTGTCGAAGTAACTGATTTTTTCATGTCACAAACTCAGATCGTTATCAACATTAAGTGCTATAATGTATGCATGTCTTCAATGGTCTTCAACTGCTGTGGTGTTTAAGGGACCAAAGTTCGGTTAAAACAAAAGAACTATTACCACCAATAACTCATACAGCTACTTTGAAACAACCAATTATACAAAAAACAACAAAATGCAATAAACGGTTTAGTTGGTGATTGATAGACAGGAATAGAAATTTTAAATTTGTTAAGTAGACAATTCATTTACAACGTAGGAACACGTATGTTGTACAAGTTTTTAACAATTATGGATTAACAAATACATATTTATACTTTTGTAAGCATGGCAAACTGATTGCTTCAAAGTCACTTGAGCATATATGCAAATTAACAAGGACTCACTCAGTGATATTTGCTACAGATGATAATAATTTAAAACGTTAGCAAAGCTCATCAGAGAGTAAAATAACATTCCCAAAGTGCTTATTGTTTTAAGAATGATAGGATATGAAATGTTAACATTGGTCTATTCTGATTTCACCGTTCTAATTATCTACTGAAGATAAAATGGTTCGTCTCTAAAATTGAGCATTATGTCAACAGTATAACTAACTGAAGACATAAAAAAACATAATGTGATCAATATATCAATATAATGAATAAAATATCTTCTAAACAAAATAAATAAAAATAAAATATTCATAAAACATAGGTTTATAATTTGAAATGCAAAGCGTGATCAATTCAATCAATAAGAGATGTGTCGTAATATCTGCTAGTCTGATATAATTATTTTCTTTTACAGCGAATAGGGATGTTACTTAAACCTAGTCCACTGTGGGGTCCAGCGGTAGAGAGATATCGAATCAAATATGAAGCCAGCAGATCATCTTTTGGTACATCAGGAGAGATATATTTTCCACCTACAATCAATTATGGAGACGACAATTGTCACCCTGATAGTGAACTTTGTGCTCTGTCGATATCCAAAACAAACCATATATCATAAATTAATACACTATAGGATGATATTGTAGCACCAAAAATCTGATTGTTTTTCTATTGTTACATTTTGTGAGAGGGGGCACTGGAGATGCCTGAATTATATCATCATTATTTTTTCATAATCTTTTTATTTCCTTAGTATTTAGTACATTGTTTGATGCAGTCGAAATCTGAACGAATATTAGAATGCACTTTTTTCACCATTGTGATCCATTTTTACACATGTAAAAAGTGTATGCATAATATCTAGAAACGATTTACATGATCGTTATTCGCGAAAAAATTCACAGACAAGACAGACCAAGACAGACCGAGACTCGTCTAAATTGACGAAAGCCTATGTACAAAAGAATTATTACAACATAAGCGTTGTCGTAAACATCAAGATAATGCAGAAGTAATGTTCTGAACATAAACCGACATCCTACGATTATTGATAAATTAATATATTACATCCTGTGAATCATCCAGCATTCAAAGCGAGAACATGAATTACACTCATTTCATAGTTAGAACGACAAATCTTACAAGAAGTCTGCCAAACTCTCTGCTTACTCGACCGCTGGATTGACTATTGTAACTTTATTTATTACATGGAATTTTATATAGTAACAGTCACCTACTTTAACTATTCCATACACTTTTATGTAGTTACCTACCACAACTTTATCGTGGGTGGTATACTAGTTTCATTATAACTTAATTTTCCTTTACAGAATAAGTCATCAGACTCACACTTAATTAAATGCATTGATATAAAGACACAATAATCAAAATAATTTAGCTTTCAAAAAAGACAATTCAATTTAAGATTTGGAGTATTTTTCAATATTTTTGAAGTACAAGAAAATAAAAAAAATAACAAACATAATTTTAGTATTGTATTTACCTATACCAACATCCGCGAAACATTGTTGATATAGTTGTAAAACCTGGCATTTTCTATGGTTCTAGTAAAGTTTGAATTATTTTGTTTTCCATTTAAAGCCTAATAGTTTCAGTTATTGTGTTGTTTTTTTTTTAGGTTTTGATGGTGTGTGAGTCTGCGGTAATTTTTCCTAAAATGAAATCAAGGGCAAGTTAGATAAAAATGCAAACAATATATTTTTGTGCTATGTGAAGTGTTCTTTTTAATTTTTTATGAATAAGTTTATCAAGGATTATCAAATAGTTTGTTCTCGAGCATCTCTGAATGACATTTATTTTCGATATTACGCATCTGGTAAATTTGGTACCGTTAAAGTTATTACTAAATAAAATGGTAATGGAAAATACTAAGCAGAAATAATATACCAAAGCAGATATTTATGTGGTACATGAAGCGTTACTAAATACGTTTTAAGAAATATATTAAGTATAAATAGTTAATTGTTAGTACAGTGGTCATGTGTGTAGTAAACTTGGTAGACTACTAATTAGACATGTCGCCTTAACTTTGAAAGGAGTAATAATTCAAATCTGGTATAGAAATATAAACATGATTCTGGGATGAGTGAACATTTAGGTATCTTCTTTGTCTTTTTTTGATAGATTAGTAAGATCGACCTGATTGTAATTTCTAACTAATATCATGATGATACTTTATAGGATGTAAATAGTCCTTACTTTGGATTTTTTTTTATTGTAAATGACATATTTAATGTGCATCTAATTAACGTGTCCATTGTTCAACCCATCAGTATTCATTCAAGGGACATTTTATTTAACATTAATCACCAGTAGACCAACAAGATTGTCATCATGACCACAATGAAGTGTTACACGTGCATCTTGTTTACGTGTGCATTGTTCAACTCATTAATACTCATTCTAGTCACATTTTATTTGGTAAAAAATTAATCACCAGTAGACCTCCAGTTGTCATTTATGTTAAAACTTATAATTTATAGATTTAATATTTCCAAATTTGTTTCAAAATAAGATTTTCGTCTGAATAGTCGTTTTTGGTATGTAAGCAGACTGTCGTTTAACCCGGTGGATATCATTGTTCGTTTTGTTAGTCTCAACGTTACATAGCTTTTACGACAAACACGTGTGACTGAAGAAAGATGTAAATATCTAGTAAAAACTGTATGCATAATATGATATTTCAAAAACAGCCAAAAAATAAATCCGAATGTCTTTTAACAAGTCGATAAATTTCAGCGTTAAAAGTTTTAGAAAAATACATCCTCTGTTTTATTTGAATAAAAAATATAATTGATAATGATATCACATGCACTATGCTTTCATTGAAGGGACCAATATTGTATATTCATGTGTGCCAATTGCCTCCATAGTTCATGATTTTACACATTAGAATATTGTAAAGTGCTCATGACCAATGAAGTAATAGGATTTTATGTTTCTCTATTTTCAAGTATGAATTAAAACATTTTGTTAATAAGGGATCATCACATTGTTTACTGACAGTTCAACACAAGGAATTTCTATATAGAAGTTAGAACTGGCCTGATGAACATTTATCAGCATGAAATAATTTCTTATTGAAAGCTCTGGAATGTCGAATTAAAATTCTGATAAATGAAACAGTATATATAACCTAAACATTTAGGTAGCAATGCATGTGCTTTCCAATACTTCGGTATAAAAGGTTGGTCAATAAATAGTTCAAATATTCCGATACAATTTAAGCAGAAATTGAAATTTATTATCGAATTTTAATTTTGTTAATTTAAATTTTAATACTTGAGTTTCAGTTAATAGCCTAATACAAATCAGTAGTATTTGATATAAAAGGGGACGTATTGAATGTGAAATTGAATGAAGTTTGAAATTCATTTATTTTAACTGTATATAAACAAAAAATTGCTTATCTAAACATTACATTGTTAACATTCAAACTCACAACTATAAAACCTAATCGTACAATTTTCAACAATTAATCGTGCTGTTGTGCCAATTAATGTCTAAAAGATGATTTAAGAAAATTTCCTCAAATTTATGAAATTCCTTACATCTCAAAGACAAGTGTAATTTGAAATGCTAAAGAATAAAATCAATTCGCACTGAGCATGAAATACATTTTTGATTTAAGACAAATAAGGATTTAATTTGAGCCATGAGCACTTTACAATATTCTTCGTTTGTAAGTGAGGATAATCCTTTTCTTACTGACTTGTTAACTCTCGTACCTGAGCATGGAGAAAAGGATTATCGTTTTAGTCAAATTATATTGTGTAGTTGTATTTATATCATTCTTTTTCAATGTAATATTTACCAAAATTATTGTATTCAGTTGAATAACAGATGAATTTCGATAGAACATTTGTCAATCAAAATATTGGACAAACATAAACTCGGCCAGTTTCGTGTGAGAAAAGTAGCCAAGTTTGTATCGATTTTTATTATGACAATGAATTTCACTGCCATTTAAAAACGTTGTGAAAACGTACTGGTAATCTTTTCCTATATGTTGTTCGGTGCTTGACTTTTGAACCGGAATTACAATTTAAGATCAATTAAGCTGATGGGCTTTCCTTTCTTTTTATGTAGTTGAAAAGCATTTTAAACAATGATAACATGCAATTAGTTATTTCATGCAGTGAATACATTGTTGTTGCAGTACGCATTATTGTGAAGAAACATTGACGTTGGTAAGGAATGGAATATAGAAAATAGTATTGGTAGTTGTGTTGTTTCCATTTTTAAGAAGTTAGCTTGCTCACTCGAATGTGGTTCTGTATGTATGTATATGCTTTAACATTACTTCCTGTGGAAGACAATTGCCGGTAGTTTATACATGAATTTTCATGTTTTTCCAGATTTTGGTTGAAAGTATATGTACTTTTTAGACGTTAAAGAAAACTTCTATTAAACAAAATTTGTTTGACTATTTGGTGTTATTACACCAAATCAGTCACCATTTCTTTAAGTAAAAGATGTAAGCAGTTTTAAAAAGGAAATTCAGAAAATAATTCTGGGTGAAATTTCATTTTTCAATGTCTTTATTTTCTCCTCGCTATTGTTTAGTATCAATAAAATATTATTGTATAACTTGTGTCTTTATGTATACACTATGTTATAGGATTAACTCATTTCCCTATAGGTTATTGATCTGTAAATAATTTCATTATAGATACCAAGATTAAATTTCGTACGCCAGTCGCGCGTTTCGTCTACAAAAGACTCATCAGTGACGCTCGAATCAAACATTTTAAAAAAAAGTACGAAGTTGAAGCGCAGTCCCAAATTCCTCAAAGTGAATCCATTTCTTGGGTAGACAACCTTTGTAAACAAATAAAACAATATTGTAAACTGTGTGCGATTAACTCACTAAATTAATAATAGTCCGATTTACAAGACATATATGGTGTTGCTGAAGTAAACAAAGCCCCAAACAATATTTTTATTTGCAAAAATCATTTTTGGAATGTCTCACTAAAGAACTTGAAATTTACAGCTAAACTAGGCATCTTACAAATACCCTACATCATGAACCAAAGGAGAGATTTTAGAAAATCACAAATCAGTCCTTCTCTCCTTTGGTATTAAAATAAAAAAAGGACGATGACAATTTCTTACTTGTATGCTGGATATCTAAACTTCACTAAAGCTTTATAAAGAACGATAGTAATCATCTTTCTAAAGTTCTTACCACCATTCTTTCTGCAGTATAAGATGGCCTTCAGAAATATTGTGATGAGATATATTTAACCAGTGGTGTCAACCGGATGTGGATTTTAAAATACTAAAGATCTACTCCGAAATGTTTAATCACATTCTTTAAAAGTTGGCAGTAATTTTAAACGTTAATTTTTTTTATACGACCGCAAAAATTAAAAATTTTTTGGTCGTATATTGGTATGACGTTGGCGTCGTCGTCGTCGTCGTCGTCGTCGTCCGGCGTCGTCCGAAGACACATTGGTTTTCGCACTCTAACTTTAGTTTAAGTGAATGGATCTCCATGAAATTTTACCATAAGGTTCAATACCACGAAAGGAAGGTTGGGATTGATTTTGGGGATTATGGTACCAACAGTTAAGGAATTAGGGGCCAAAAAGGGGCCAAAAATAAGCATTTTTGTAACTTCCAGACAATAACTTGTGTGTAAGTGTATGGATCTCTCTGACATTGTACCACAAGGTTCCATATCACATAGGGAAGGCTGTAATTGATTTTGGGGGTAATTGCCTCAAAATTTTAGGAATTAGGGGCCAAAAAAGGGGCAAAAAACAAGCATTTTTCTAGTTTCATGACAATTACTTGTGTGTAAGTGTTTGGATATTTCTTAAATTGTACTACAAGGTTCCATATCACAAAGGGAAAGCTGGAATTGAGTTTGGGGGTAATTCCCAGAAAAGTTTAGGAATTGGGGGCCAAAAAGGGGCCAAAAATAAGCATTTTTCTAGTTTCCAGAAAATTGAATTTGTAGGGTTCTTTGATATGCTGAATCTAAACATGTGTTTAGATTTTTGATTATGGGCCCAGTTTTCAAGTTGGTCCAAATCGGGGTCCAAAATTAAACTTTGTTTGATTTCAACAAAAATTGAATATATGGGGTTCTTTGATATGCTGAATCTAACCATGTATTTAGATTTTTGATTTTTGGGCCCCGTTATCAACTTTGTCCACATTGAGATCAAAAGGGTCCAAAATTAAACTTTGTTTGATTTCATCAAAAATTGAATTCTTGGGGTTCTTTGATATGCTGAATCTAACCATGTATTTAGATTTTTGATATTGGACCATAATAGGTGAATGTCCAATTTAAAATTTTTAAGTTCTTAGACCACATTCATTCTGTGTCAGAAACCTATGCTGTGTCAAATATTTAATCACAATCCAAATTCAGAGCTGTATCAAGCTTGAATGTTGTGTCCATACTTGCCCCAACTGTTCAGGGTTCGACCTCTGCGGTCGTATCAAGCTGCGCCCTGCGGAGCATTTTATTATCTCTTTACTCTATTGTTCCCCGTGCTCAATTGAAAGACTACATCGTCTGATTAATAAAACATACTTGCTGAGTTTGGTGGATTGATATTTCAGCAGATAATCGGTATTTTAATGGTTTTTTATACGACCGCAAAAAAAATTTTGTGGTCGTATATTGGTATGACGTTGGCGTCGTCGTCGTCGTCGTCGTTGGCGTCGTCGTCCTCGTCGTCGTTGGCGTCGTCGTCGTCCGGCGTCGTCGTCGTCGTCCGAAGACACATTAGTTTTCGCAATCTAACTTTAGCTTAAGTGAATGGATCTCAATGAAATTTTTTTTTTTCTTTTTTTTTCTTTTTTTTCTTTTTTTTTTCTTTTAAAATTTTCCATTTTAAGTTGGTTATTTCTGATTTATATTTAAAAGCAAATAATAATGATATGGTAGGAGATACACACCAAACAGGATGTGTAAATTATTATACAATAAGTATTGTGCAATAGCAAGAAATTTTCAATTGCACAGTATTGCACAATAGCAAGAAATCTTCAATTGCACAGTATTGCGCAATAGCAAGAAATCTTCAATTGCACAGTATTGCGCAATAGCAAGAAATATCCAATAGCACAATATTGCGCAATAGCAAGAAATTGTCAATTGTACAGTATTGCGCAATAGCAAGAAATATTCAATTGCACAGTATTGTGCAAAAGAATATACTTCGTATAAATTGCTTATTTCTTGATCAATTTCAATGGGGTTTTATTCTTGAATTCTTGGGGTTCTTTAATATGCTGAATCTAACCATGTATTAAATTTTTGGATTTTGGGCCCCGTTTTTAAATTGGTCCACATTGAGGTCCAAAGGGTCCAAAATTTAACTTTGTTTGATTTCATCAAAAATTGAATTATTGGGGTTCTTTGATATGCCGAATCTAACCATGTATTTAGATTCTTAATTTTTGGTTCCGTTTTCAAATTGGTCTACATAAAGATCCAAAGGGTCCAAAATTAAACTTAGTTTGATTTCAACAAAAATTGAATATATGGGGTTCTTTGATATGCTGAATCTAACCATGTATTTAGATTTTTGATTATGGGCCCAGTTTTCAAGTTGGTCCAAATCGGGGTCCAAAATTAAACTTTGTTTGATTTCAACAAAAATTGAATATATGGGGTTCTTTGATATGCTGAATCTAACCATGTATTTAGATTTATTATGGGCCCAGTTTTCAAGTTGGTCCAAATCGGGGTCCAAAATTAAACTTTGTTTGATTTCAACAAAAATTGAATATATGGGGTTCTTTCATATGCTGAATCTAACCGTGTATTAAGTTTTTGGATTTTGGGCCCCGTTTTTAAATTGGTCCACATTGAGGTCCAAAGGGTCCAAAATTTAACTTTGTTTGATTTCATCAAAAATTGAATTATTGGGGTTCTTTGATATGCCGAATCTAACCGCGTATTTAGATTCTTAATTTTTGGTTCCGTTTTCAAATTGGTCTACATAAAGGTCCAAAGGGTCCAAAATTAAACTTAGTTTGATTTTAACAAAAATTGAATTTGTAGGGTTCTTTGATATGCTGAATCTAAACATGTGTTTAGATTTTTGATTATGGGCCCAGTTTTCAAGTTGGTCCAAATCGGGGTCCAAAATTAAACTTTGTTTGATTTCAACAAAAATTGAATATATGGGGTTCTTTGATATGCTGAATCTAACCATGTATTTAGATTTTTGATTTTTGGGCCCCGTTATCAACTTTGTCCACATTGAGATCAAAAGGGTCCAAAATTAAACTTTGTTTGATTTCATCAAAAATTGAATTCTTGGGGTTCTTTGATATGCTGAATCTAACCATGTATTTAGATTTTTGATATTGGACCATAATAGGTGAATGTCCAATTTAAAATTTTTAAGTTCTTAGACCACATTCATTCTGTGTCAGAAACCTATGCTGTGTCAAATATTTAATCACAATCCAAATTCAGAGCTGTATCAAGCTTGAATGTTGTGTCCATACTTGCCCCAACTGTTCAGGGTTCGACCTCTGCGGTCGTATCAAGCTGCGCCCTGCGGAGCATTTTATTATCTCTTTACTCTATTGTTCCCCGTGCTCAATTGAAAGACTACATCGTCTGATTAATAAAACATACTTGCTGAGTTTGGTGGATTGATATTTCAGCAGATAATCGGTATTTTAATGGTTTTTTATACGACCGCAAAAAAAATTTTGTGGTCGTATATTGGTATGACGTTGGCGTCGTCGTCGTCGTCGTCGTTGGCGTCGTCGTCCTCGTCGTCGTTGGCGTCGTCGTCGTCCGGCGTCGTCGTCGTCGTCCGAAGACACATTAGTTTTCGCAATCTAACTTTAGCTTAAGTGAATGGATCTCAATGAAATTTTACCATAAGGTTCAATACCACAAATGGAAGGTGGGGATTGATTTTGGGGGTTATGGTACCCACAGTTAAGGAATTAGGGGCCAAAAATAAGCATTTTTGTAACTTCCAGACATAACTTGTGTGTAAGTGTATGGATCTCTCTGACATTGTACCACAAGGTTCCATATCACAAATGGAAGGCTGGAATTGATTTTGGGGGTAATTGCCTCAAAATTTTAGAAATTAGGGGCAAAAAAAGGGGCAAAAAACAAGCATTTTTCTAGTTTCATGACAATAACTTGTGTGTAAGTGTTTGGATATTTCTGAAATTGTACTACAAGGTTCCATATCACAAAGGGGAAGCTGGAATTGAGTTTGGGGGTAATTGCTCGAAACGTTTAGGAATTGGGGGCCAAAAATAAGCTTTTTTTCTAGTTTCCAGACATTAACTTGTGTTCAAGTGTATGGATCTCTCTGAAATTGTACTGCAAGGTACCATACCACAAAGGGAAGGCTGGGATTGATGATGGGGGTAATTGCCTCAATATTTTAGGAATTAGGGGCCAAAAAAGGGCAAAAAACAAGCATTTTTCTAGTTTCAGGACAATAACTTGTGTGCAAGTGTATGGATCTTTCTGAAATTGTACTACAAGGTTCCATATCACAAAGGGAAAGCTGGAATTGATTTTGGGGGTAATTGCCCAAAAAAGTTTAGGAATAAGGGGCCAAAAATAAGCATTTTTCTAG